GTTGTAGCCCCATTTTAGGTGTTCCCATCAGTTACAGGCAAAAGACGGACTTACCAGCTTTCTGTGGTGATGCTTTTGGTTATTCCTTTCTCTTTGGGAAGGATTTTTAAAAGTACCGTTACTATTTTACCTAAACCTAGATAGTGTAGTGGTTATGACCTCAGGGTCAGTAGTTCCAAACTACCAGCTGTTCCACAGGAGAGATGAGGCTTTCTGCTCCCGTATAGGTTTAGGAGACCTGGTGTGGTGCTGTGGGTTTATGTGCTGCTGGACTACAAGGTCGGTTTGAACCACAAGGTCAGTGGTTTAAGCTCACCAGCTACCTGTGGAAACTATTCAGAGTCATTATGAGTTGGAACCGCCTGGATGGCACTTACCAACACAAGAGAGAGATTTTAGAGGGTGGTGATAATGAGGTGGGGTTTTTGTTTGTTTGTTTGTTTGTTTTTTAGTTACAACATGTTTGAAAATAGGTTTCTCAGATTTGGGGCTTATGAGCCTCTTGATAGTGAAGACCAGGAACCTATTTGCTTTTGAGCACAATTGTTAGAACCATGAAACAAATTGGGGCAAAGGAGAACCAAGTGTTATACTAAAATCTTTTGCATTATCTGTTAGACTTATGTATACATCTGCAAAATAGTTTGTGAAAAATGCTTAATGGGAAGTACACTTATGGAGTCTTGGTGTGGAGTTGGATGAACACTGGTCTGCTAACCAAAGTCAGTGGTTTAAACCCACCAGCTGCTTCTCAGAAACCCTATAGAGAATCACTGTGTGGAATTAACTACATAGCACTTAAAATAAGAGTTGTATATGTAGAAACAAAAGACCAGATGTATCTTTCCTTACAGAGAGTCTGATATCACAAAGGAGAGAATTCAGAAGATCCTGGCAACTGGAGCCAATGTTATTCTAAGCACTGGGAGCATTGATGATATGTGTCTGAAGTATTTTGTGGAGGCTGGTGCAATGGCAGTTAGAAGAGTTTTAAAAAAGGATCTTAAACGCATTGCTAAAGCTTCAGGAGGTAAGTCTTCTAGCTCTCAGATGTAATCTTTAGTGCTAAGATGAGGCGGCTTCATAAAGTTCATGTTGATAAAGCCGTATTTTATAACAAGTTCAATTTGGTGAAAAATTCATGAACTAAATGTTTTTCACTTCAAAAAAATGGCATCATTCCATCTCAGGACAGCTGTTGTTGGTTGTCAGGTGCCACCGAGTCAGAACCGACTCATAGTGACCCCATGCACAGCAGAACGAAACATTGTCCGATCCTGGGCCAACCTCACTATCGCTGCCACACCTGAGTCCATCAATGATGTCACCTGGCCAATCCATCTCATTAGGGGTCTTCCTCTTTTTCTCTGACCCTCACCTTACCCAGGACAGCTACTTGCCTGGAAACCCTAAACTTGTATTAAATAAAACTGTTCTCACGAATACAATGCTTCTGAATCAAAGACAGACTACTAAAACTGAAGGAACACATGTGAAAGGACAGTTTTTTCAGATCTTTGCAATTCTCTTCTTAGCAACTGTTCTGTCAACCCTGGCCAATCTAGAAGGTGAAGAAACGTTCGAAGCTGCAATGTTGGGACAAGCTGAAGAGGTGGTACAGGAGAGAATTTGTGATGATGAACTGATTTTAGTCAAAAAGTAAGTGCTCCATTTTAAATGGGACAGCTATATGTTTCCTCACTGTTGGTAGTAGTAGAACTGGAGCATCTTCCCATTGATTTGCTGCTATTATCTATCAATGATATGAGCAGTTATACGCATGGGATAAAATATGTAGGACCTTTGTAAATTGAGATAAAGTCATCATTTTGTCTCCTTTGCATGGTCTAGACATTGTTTTTGGTCCAGTATGTCTTACGTAAGCAGGATTTTAGAAAGAATGTTTGCAGTGAATACATTGTATTGGTAGCCATCTAAAAATAGAAGTTTTAGAATGTTTTTGTTTTTAATAGCACTAAGGCTCGAACATCTGCATCTATTATCTTACGTGGGGCAAATGATTTCATGTGTGATGAAATGGAGCGCTCTTTACATGATGCTCTTTGTGTGGTGAAGAGAGTTTTGGAGTCAAAGTCTGTTGTTCCTGGTGGGGGTGCTGTGGAAGCAGCCCTTTCCATATACCTCGAAAACTATGCAACTAGCATGGTAAGAATGGTTTACTCCCAAGGTGGGAATGGGGGCAACTTTGGCCTTTTCCTTATGCCCTGAGACCTTACAACCTGAAAGATGGGGCTGTAGTCTTTCTCCTTTTGTGGCGACATCAATTGTCTTTCTTCTAGGGGTCTCGAGAACAGCTTGCCATTGCGGAGTTTGCAAGATCCCTTCTTGTGATTCCCAACACACTCGCAGTGAACGCTGCCCAAGACTCCATAGATTTGGTTGCAAAGTTAAGAGCTTTTCACAATGAGGCTCAAGTGAACCCAGAACGTAAAAACTTAAAATGGTAAGCATGCGATTTTCTGGTCATTTTCATCAACCATATACCCTAAGTGCAGTCCTGATGTGGCACTGTGGGTTAATATGTTGGACTGCAAGGTCAGCAGTTCAAACTTGGCAGCGGCTCCTCAGAAACCCTATACAGGGAGGTTGGAACTGACTCAGTATCAGTAACAACATTGTATGGTAGCCTGGTAGGAAATTCATGATAGATGATATATTCTTAGCCCTTCCTAGACCATTCAAAAATGAGACTTGTCAAATACTTTATATAAAGAAAGCATAACATCCTTTCATTGTTACCTGATAACTGAATCACAAAAGGGCAGTGAGTAGTCATAAGCATTGTTACTGAATTCCATCTGGGGTTTCCCAGGAGCAGCTGCTCCATTTGAACCACTGACCTTGCGTCCAGCACGTACCTAACTGCCACATTGTTGTTTTTGTTAAGAGGTTGATTTTAAGCTCTGCCTCTTTAAGAAAACCTGGTAGTGGACATGCTTAAGACCTGGTGTGGCTCAACTGGAAATGTTTGTAGACAGAGTTCCTTATACTAGGCTTTTCTATTCTCACTGCTTTCCTCTTAAAAGGATCTGTAAAGTCCAGGTTAACATTTGAATGGAATAGCTAAGGTTAACAATTTGTTTTTATTAGCTTTTCTGTAATAGGCTATTCAGTAGCATGTTTGTCTTCTAATTGCAGGATTGGTCTTGATTTGGTCAATGGCAAACCTCGTGATAACAAGCAAGCTGGAGTGTTTGAACCAACCATAGTTAAAGTAAAGAGTTTGAAATTTGCAACAGAAGCAGCCATCACCATTCTTCGGATTGATGATCTTATTAAACTACACCCAGAAAGTAAAGATGATAAACATGGAAGTTATGAAGATGCTGTTCACTCAGGAGCACTTGATGACTGATGTGTTTCCTCCTTTATTTATAAAATAATTGATGTTAGATGCAATTGCCTTGTACTTTGAGTATTATTAGTACACATTAAAAGTATAACAAGCTGTCAAACCTTGGGTTGTTAAAAGTATTGTCCATCCTTATTGTGGTCCTTTCTTCACACACAACTCAATACCACATCAAGTTTAAAAGGTGAGATTTGCATTTAAACATGATTAATACAAAAATTTCAGGCTCTCTGGACACACATTGCTATTCCCATCCCACCTCCGATGCACAGCGCAGCAACACCACGGCTTCCGCCGGTTCTCTCCAGTGTGTGTAACAGCGTCACAAGAATCCGACAGCCAGATGCTCCAAGGGGGTGGCCCAAGGCTATTGCCCCTCCTTGAATGTTGACCTGTGGGGTGGGAGAAGATTCATTTTAGATCACTCTGTGAACATTAAAATCTCAAATTATTTCCCCTCTCCAATTCAAATTCAATATTTCAAGTTCATACCTCTTGCCATCCCTAACTTCCCTTGTTTAAAAATAAATGGTTACAAGATAAACTGTGATACATATGCACAATGGAATATTATGCTATGCTGCAGAATAACTAGGAAGCTGCAAGCCACCACATTAACATGGATGAACCTTGAGAACATTATGTTGAGTGAAATTAGTCACAAGGAGAAATACTGTATAGGACCACTACTGTAAAAGATTACGAAAAAGAACCCATACTAAAGGTGGCGTGGGGCAGGAAGGTGGAGCACAGGGCAGGGAACAGATACAGGATAGTTTGGGTGCTGGGGAGGGGGACAATATACAAGAGAGGGGAATGGAAGAACAAAGCAAATGAGAGAACAATTAGGTTTGCATGGACTAAGTGGAACAGGTAAATATATGCACAGCCTTGGAACAGGGCTGAGATGGATTTAGACATGGTTGGAATGGGGAAAAGTGAATAATGTTAAGGTGCTTGACTGTCTTGAATCTTGGTTTTCCTTGCATTATAAAACAGCAAGGATCATTCCCACCCCCTCCATACACAGAGTAGACAGGGATGAGTAACTTGGACATTGGCTACCCAAAGTGGGGTGGCTACAAAGGCAAGAAGTGACTGGCTTACAAGCTTTTAAGAGGGAACCTAGATCCAGAGGGCATGGAGGAAGGTAGAATCTCCACTTAACAGTATTCAATCTGTCTAGGTTCAATCTGTCTAGGCGGGGCTGATCAAAGGAAATGCAGATAGGTCTCTTGTGATACAATAGTGAATAATTATAAGACTAATTGTGAGGGTTGTAACTGTAAAGGTAGACGTTTTTATAGCAAGGAGGGGAGTGATTAACTTTGCAGCCTAGGAGCTGAGGTCCCTGGGACCGTGAAAGGGAGAAGAGCGGAGAGTGGACCCTACTCACAGAAGCAGTAATGCCTGAGATGGATGCAGAGATGGTAACGTGGAGCGATGGAGCAGCTGGGGACTTTAGATCCAGAGAGGGCTGTGTGCTGACGACCTGGGGTGGGGGGTGGGGTGGGGAACAGGCCTTGTAGGATATACCCTTTGGTTGGTTGATGGAGAGGATTGTAATCATGGCAATGAAACAGTTTATGATAGGATCAATGTAAAACTAATGTTCTCACATGTAAACGATCACATAATTCACAATAAAACATTTTTAAAAATAAACGATTACAAAGAACTTTTTTTAAGAACCTAAAATGCTTTTTAATATAGGAAGTGAACTAATGTAGTCAAAAGATTTTTGCCTTAGGAAGCAAAAGTAGATGAAACCAACCCCAAATCATAGTAGAAACGTCAGTATTTCCTCACTCACTACTGTATAGGTCCAGAGCTACTGCTAGCTTACGTTTACCTTTTCTGGATTTAATCCCAGTTCTTTAGCTATTGCAACAGAGACGACTGCAAAGGCTTCATTGATTTCAAATACATCAACATCCTCCAGTGACCAACCTGCTTTTGCAACCTAAAAGAGATGAGGGGTATAGATGTCAAACAAATCAACTCGAGTTAAAACTGCTTGTAGCAGTACACACAGAAGAGGAGCATGTGACAATTTGGAAAGATCTAGAAAAACAACTTTGGTGGCGGTGTGGCATGGAGTTATCACTCATAGAGACCCTGTACAAGGTTATAGGCTATAAATCTTTACAGGAACAGAAAGCTTCATTTTTCTCCAGCAGAGCTGCTGGCAGATTCAAACTTAGCAGCCCAATTTGTAACCCGCTACACTACCAAGGATCTCATGTTTGGTAAGCTGGAGGGTCAGAGAAAAAGAGGAAGACCCCCAACGAGATGGACTGGCCAAGTGGCAGCATCGATGGACTCAAGCATGGCAACAATAGTGAGGCTGGCCTAGGATCGGGCAGTATTTCGTTCTGCTGTGCATGTCGGTACCGACATGATGGCACCTAACAACAAACACTACCAAACACATAACAACTACCAAGACTGGTGTGACACTGCGGGTTAATGTGCTAGACTGCAAAGTTTGCTTGAACTGCAAGGTTGGCAGTTCAAGCTCACCAGCCACTAATTGAAAACCCTATCCAGGGTCACTATGGGTTGGAACCGACTTGAAGGCACTTAATGACAACAAACACTACACTAAGGCAGTTCTTTACCAAGGGCCCTAGAACTGCTCAGGTCAGTCAAAATACTACTTTCAAACGCAGCCCAGAAGTAGATGTCCAAGGTAGTTAGAGGAGATGACAGCTGCCATGAGGAAATGCCCAGACACGTCCTCCAGTGAGCTGACACATTAGTGTTAGTTCCATGATCACACACACATATTGCCCTGGTGACATCAAAACATCCCTTAGAAATTCTACACATTAAGTTCTGTACCAATGACAGCTGTTACATGTATGGGCAAGGGGATACAGAATCAGTCCCCTAAAATACTAAGACAGAAATATTCTGTTTTATTGGTGGAAAAAGTACAGTAACTATTATTAAAAGCTAATTGGGAGACTTCAATAAGAAAACAAAACAATCATGGCATTTTCTGAAGTGGAAAGGAGATCTGAGCAAATGTTCAGTGAGTTAATTAAGGTAACCTTAATCTGGCGTTAAGGAGTTCCCGTAGCATAGCTGTTATGAATCGGGCTGCGAGCCACAAGGTAAGCAGTTCGAAACCACCAGAAGTTCCGCGGGTGAAAGATGAGGCCTTCTGCTCCCGTAAGGATTTACAGCCTCAGATCAGAAACCTTGTACAGGGTCGCTGTGAGTTGGAAGTGACTCCACGGCACCTAACAACAACAACAACAATCTGGCATTGCTAGTAAGCTGTCTGCTTCCACAGTGGTTGGTTATGAAAGCAGAGGGGTTTATGAACTGACAACATTATTAAACTCACAGCTTGCTTTATTGCTGGAATTGGTCCTGTTCCCATGATGGATGGGTCTACACCAACTTGTGACCAGGAAACTATGTGTGCTAAAGGTGTCAACCCACGACTGACAGCTTCAGACTTCTTCATGAGGACCACCGCAGCAGCACCATCATTGATTCCTGTAAAACATGCCCATTTATTTCTAGGGTATTGCATTCCACCTCAGCCACATCTCTGCCTTCCACCTGAAGACGCACTCAATTACATTTTGGCAGAAGCAGTACCATAATTCTACTTTACAACGGAGTTAGAAATGGTGAATTAACAGGACTCAGAACATCCCAACTGAAGAGTGGAAAGATGCCAGGAATGGGGGCAGGGAGGCCTATGAAAATGAAGTCTAGACCTTAGAGGAGGATGCGTCAGGAGCTTCTGATATTGGAACAAAGAGACAAGGGCAAACCATGGAATTTTGTAATTTCATTTTTATATCTACTTAGGCAAGCAGACAATAATCCTTTAAGTTACTGTATCAGTTATCAAAAAGATAAAATGCAAATTCTTAGAATAATCTTACATACTTAGAAAAACTGAAGTTAATAAAAGTTTGAACTGGGTAGCTGATTTGCAGAAGGTAATCTGGTCCCAGGTGACTGACAGATTAGCTAACCTGAAGCATTAGCTGGGGTAACGGTGCCTGTTCCATCTGTAAGGAAGTAAGGCTTTAGCTTGGACATTGCTTCCATGGTGCTCCCATGTCGAGGAAACTCATCTGTTTTGACTTCAGTAAGACCTGAAAAAGGAACACCAGTTACGCAGATGAGTACAGAGACAGTACTGAGCAAGTCACAGAAATCTGGTGGACTCCTCAGACATGATCCATGCTTTCAATTTGGAAGAAAGGTTTACTTTCACTTCATTTTAACAGGAGGAAAGTCCACAATAACATGACACTGATGGTATACTAAAACATCTCAGGAAGGCTCTGCTCAAAAGGGTGATTGCCTACTAGACACCTTATTTCTATTTGGGTTGACAGAGTTTTGGAAATAGCTTAGTGGTGGTGGTTACATGACATTGTGAATGTAATTCAAGTCACTTAAAACAGCAGATTTTATGTGTATTTTTACCACAAAATTTAAATTTTTTAAAAAGAGCTCAAGAGGAACACAAATTTAGATTTCCAAAGCAAGGAAATTTTGTATTCTTTTTCAAAAGTCTAAGAAACCAGATAACAAATATTTGTGGGTCTGGGATGTTTCTCTGGAATCTTCTCCAGAGCTGAAATTTCAGACCATCAACTATACTACGGTGTCCTCAGCAAATGTGTCCCCAAGGAACCAGCAAGCAAACATTTTAGAGATTTCACCCATCCGTTTCTGCTGAACAAGCATAACACCCTTTAGACCCTCTGGCTTCCATGCCAATGAACAATGTGGGGTAAACCTAGATCCACCACAAGTAAGGTGGCTTTTGCCTTTGGCTGAGATTTGTGCTAATGAGTAGGGACTGGCCAGACCAGAAGATTCGTCTGGGAGGCCAGTATCAACTAGTCTCAAGAGGAGGGTCAATCTGTCATATACAGGACTGGAGGATAAAATCCTTGACTACCTCAGTAAGCTTCCTAGTCTGAGCAGACATCTGCTCTTGGGAGGAATGCATCCCTTGGGAAATAGAAGCTACATTTTGGGAACCTTCCCAGACCTCGCTCTATGCTCTTCTTTTCATCTGCACCATTTTGGCTATCATACATCCTTAGACTCCCTCTCATGTGCTTTGTACATGGCTTGGTAAAGTAAACGGGTCTGTGGACAAGAGGAAGACCCTCAATGATACAGACTGACACAGTGGCTGCGACAATGAGCTCAAACAGCAACAATTGTAAGGATGGCGCAGGACTGGGCAGTGCTTGATTCTGTTGTATACACGGTCACTGTAAGCTGGAACTGACTCAACAGTGTCTAACAACAGTACTAAGTAGGTTATATACTTGGTGAGTTCTGAGAGCTGGTCCACAGATTTTTAGAAAACAAAGAGGTAATGAGAGCCAGCAGGTCAGAAAGTAAGATATTGTGTGGACTTCCAAGCTTATAGTTGACACCCTGAAAATGTACTGAGAAGTCAGCAGGGTAGAAGATTGGGGTGTTGTGCAGACTTCCCAAACTTGCAACTGGTCTACCTATCTGGCAGTCTGAAAGATCATTGTTGTCGTTGTAAGTATCATCAAGTCAGTTCCAAGGAGCTGCTGATGAGTTTGAACCTACGACACTGCAGTTCAAACGACCTGATGGTCCAGTACTTATCCTACCAGTGCCACACCATGACTCTAGTCTGAAGGATGGATGCCATTAATTTGTGAGCTCTGACCCTGCTCTGGGTGGCAGGGGCAGAGCGCCGCAGAGGCAGATGGCGATGAGAACGGAAAAGTGGGAAGGTGGGGACTGAGCCAATCTCTACATTTGGGGGACTGGAGTCACGTGGCTCCTTATCACACAGTTGGCAATGATAGTAAAATTTACCAACTTTACATAAGATCCAACTTCTACTGAAAAACAAACAAGGTAAAACCCAAAATGCAAAAATGATTAGTAATGATTTCCCTGGTATGTAGGATAAGCATTGGACTTATCCTGTAGGATAAGCATTGGACTGCTAGCATGCTGACTATAAGATACACAGTTCAAACCCACCAGTCACTTTCAGAAACCCTATACAGGATCACTATGAATCAAAACTGACTCAATGACACTTGACAACAAAGATTTCCATTGGACTTAACAATTGGTGAGCTTGCTTCATACCCAAAGGCAGATCATATCATTCTGTGCAGTCAAGTTTGGCTTCCCTTTACAGATTATTTCCTTCTCAAGTGTTTAAATACTCTTTCAAAAATTCATTTCCACATCATTCTACATAGGATCTCTCACAGTGGTTGCTCTTCATGGTGTACATGAAGTTCTGTAATGCACCTGACAGGCCATGAGACATCCTGACTTCTGAGGAATGTAGTCGGAGGGAGGGCTATGAGTTAAGTCATAAGACTGTGCTACTTACAGCATATCAGGTAAGGGAGTGTCAAGGCCAATCTAGACATGAGAGAAGTCAGGCATCAATAAGGAAATTGGACCAACACACTCCATACTAGATAATGACCAAGTGACCCAAAAAGATTCACTTTCGAGAAATCTAAATGTTAAGATGCATACAGAAGCAACAGGATGTAATGGAAGGTCACCACTAAAGAGAAATGACCTGTAGGAGTGGCAGGTAATTGCAGCCTCCTAATAACCGTTAACAACCAATACTCCAGTTTCTCATGTATAAGCACATCATCAGCCTTGGACACTCTGGAACCACAAGTGTCTGCTGACAGTTTCCCATGATTCCCCAGTCCCAACTCCATATTCAGAAGTATCCAGGTACATCTTTGCTGTGAAAGATAGAACTTAACAATTGTTCTGGCCTCGAAAAACACTACTAAATATTCTTTCAGATATTATTCTTATCCGTGAGCCCACCTTTTCTAGAAGATATAAACACTGGAACGATCTCTTTGTCGAAATGGCCAGCTTTCTGGGCACTCTCTGTCCTGTTTTGAGACCGAACTGCAATCTTGTCTTGATCTTCTCTACTCACTTGCCATTTTTTGGCTATGTTTTCAGCTGGGGTAAAAAAAGAGACAAAAACAAAAACAAAAAGCAAAACAGACATTTTCACAAATTGGCTCCCAGTAACTCAAGTTTTTCACATTTAAACAGGCATTGACAATTCTGCACGAGCAGGTTCACAAATGTGCATGTGCTCTATGGCAATCTATGAATAGCAATGAATATCGCAGTGTCCCAGTGACTCCTGGGAAGTCAGTGTCTTTTTTTCTCTCATAGGGCTGCCATAACAAACTACCCCAAAACTATGTGGCTTAAAGAAAATGTATGGTCTCACACACATTTTGGAGGCTAGAAGGCCATTCAGGATGGCAGCAGAGCTATGATCTCTGAAGACTCTTAGGAAAGATCCTTCCTGGACTCTCTGGCTCCCCCTAGTAGCTCCTGGTTTATAGCTCCTTGGTTTATAGATTGCACCACTTAGTCTCTACATGGCATCTGCCCTCTGTCACCATGTCTCTGTCTCCTCTTAACAACAGTCATAATGACAAAGACCCACCTTAACTTTAGTACTTCAAAGAGTACTTTTAAACAAGGTCTCAATCAAGAGATTTTGGGGACTGAGATGTTAACATATCGAACCTATAACACATTCCTTTGCCTTCTTTCCATATCACTTGAAACTTACAGAAATGTTCCTTATGCAGATGCACCAATCATTTGTATTTGGTTCCGTTGTCTTTCTCTTTCTCGGAACCACATCAAAGTTGGAGGTGCCATGCTCTGTAACTCCCAAATTCCAACTTCAGCACATCTATCTGCCCAAAGCGCAGTCACTACCTTACATAAGCAGTTATATCAAAACCAGGAAATTTAACCTCATTACAATACAGCCATGCCAGTGTACAATGTCACTTAGGACAACATCTAACCCCATATGCGTTGTCCCAACCCCTGTAAAGCCTATCAAATGACAAATCTGAGGTACCTACAATGGTTCATAGTAAGAAACAGGCACTACTTTGCAGGAAGTATCAAAACATAACTGTGTTATTGTGTTAAGTATGTTTTAATATATCTGGAAGCATTTTATGCATAGAAAGCTACAATATACAGTAAAACAACCATCAGCTGACATCAGGTACAAATGATGCTGAACTGCTGCCACTTAAATACAAATTCAACTGAAAGAAAGGTTGAGGGTAGAATTCGTTCATAATCTGGGGTCTGCCTGTATATAATAATGGTGCTTATGTGACATCTGTAATTACAAACCACATGACTGTAACATCTATTAAATCCTTAGTCCACATTCAAACATCTTTTTCTGTTGTCTCAATACAGCTCTTTCATTTGTTCCGTCCAGGAGCTAATCCAGGATCATACATTTTCATCTGATACAGTTCGTCAGACTGTCTTTGTATGTGACAGCGTTAGTTTTCTAGTGCTGCTATAACAAACTCCCTAAGTGGGTGGCTTAAACGAATTTACTTTCTCTTACAGCTTGGTGTTGTTGCTAAATTTCCAACTCATAGTCTATAGGACTTCCCAAAAGCAACTAGCGAGTTTGAATCGCCATTTTTGTGATTAAAACCAACTTTGCAGCCCACTGCTGAGAAAGAAAGACTCTTAAATTCAGGGTGTGATGTCAGTCTCTGGGGGAAGACATTCCATTCTGGCTCTCAGAGAAAGCCCTTGTTACTTTTCAGCTTCTGTTCCTTAGTGATCTTCATGTGGCCTGGCAGGTATTTTCTCCCATTCTTGTTTGCTTGCTTCTGTGTCTAACCTGCTCCTTTCATATCCCAAAAATCACTGGCCTAAAATACCCCTATACACTCTGGTAGCGTAGTGGTTACAAATCAGGCTGCTAACCTCAGGGTCAGCAGTTCGAAACTACCAGCTGTTCCACAGGAGAAAGATGAGGCTTTCTGCTCCCATAAAGATTTCAGCCTTGGAAACCCTATACAGGATCGCTGTAAGTCAGAACTGACTCCACGGTACATAACAACAACACCGTCACTCCTGGTGGGAACCCTGGTGTGGTACCTTAGGGTAAGCACTTGACCTTATGGTTGATTTGATCCACAAGGTCGGTGGTTCAAACTTACCAGCAGCCTCAGAAACTAGACGGGGTCACTGTGAGTTGGAACCAACTCTACGGTACCTGACAGACACTCCTGGTAGGTACTGCAGGATAAGCACTCCACTATAAGTTCGGTTTGAACCACAAGGTCAGAACCTTAAATTCATCAGCTGTTCCTCGGAAACCCTATACAGGGTCATTATGGGTCAGAACAGACTCTGCAGTACTTAACAACACACTGATACGGCTTCATTAACTTAACAAAGAGCCCCCCATTCCCAGACTACATACACATATATAATGAGGTTAGTATTCCAGCACGTGCTTTGAAGAACACAATTCAACCCACAGTACATGTTTTGAGGAACAAAATTAAATCCACAACACTGACCCTGATACTTCTGAAGAAAATGAGTCTGTTCTTTTGTGGAATGTCCCCTAAGTTGGGAATGTCTAATGTTTTCTCCAATAATGCTGGAGATCTCATGACATAATTTTCCAAGATCACTGACTTGTTCATTACAAATATCTTTTGTAAACAACCTAACCAGATGGAATACACAGAAATCAAATTCACTCCATCTGGGGGAAGATAACAGTAGAAAACCTCCTCCTATCATCAGTCAAAACTAGGCAAGGGATAGACTATGGAACAAACCATCAATTACTCACATGCAAGTTCAGGCTGAAGATGAAGAAAACTAAAACAAGCCCACTACAGCCAAAATATGACCTTGAACATTGTTGTTGTTGTTGTTAAGTGCAACTGAGTCGGTTCTGACCCACAGCAACCCTGTCTAGGGTTTCCAAGGAGTGGCTGGTGAGCTTGAACCAAAGACCCTACAGTTCAAGCCAACATTACAGTCCAGTGCATTAAACCATATCAACACACCAGGACTCCTGACCTTGAACATACCTCATCTAAATTTAGAGACCATCACAATAACTGATTTGATAAATAAGACACTTAATGACAGAAGACCAGAGTTGTGGTATGACATCAAGAACATCACACAGGAAGTAAGCAAAAGGTCATTAAAAAGACAAGAAACAAGAATAAGACCAAAAGGGATGTCAGAAGAGACTCTGAAACTCTCCAGCCTAGAGATGCTACAGCAACTGGAAAAACATGAGGACATAAAAGAACTGAATAGAAAATTTCAAAGGGCAGCTTGACAAAACACAAATATTATAATGAAACGTGAAAAAATCTGGAGTTAGAAAAACAAGAGGGAAGAATACGCTCAGCATTTCTCAAACTGAGGGAATTGCTGAGAGTGAAGAGGACTTAAAATACTGATGAGGATCACAGATTATATATATAGCCTTTGGTATGGGTTGCACCGCAATGTAAAGAAAACAAAAATCCTCACCACTGGACCAATAAATAACATCAAGGTAGATGGGGAAAAGATTGAAATTGTCAAAGACAACCATCAACCACAGTCAAAAAATCAAACGACTTATAGCATTAGGCCAATCTGAAGCACAAGACCTCACTAGAGTGTTCAAGAACAAAGATGTCAGTTTGAGGACTGAGGAAGTGCACCTGACCCAAGCCATGGTATTTTCAATAAACTTGGATGCGTGTGAAAGTTAGACAAACAATAAGGAAGACTGCTGAAGAATTGATGCATTTACATTATAGTATTGGAAGACAATATTAAAAGTACCATAGACTGCTGGGGCCAACTGCCACCTCTGACAATTGGCTATTCTCCGCGACCCGCGCGGAGAGATTACACCCGAGTAGGAGCGACGGGAGATTAGAAATAAAAGGAAGAAACAAATGAAATTAAGAAAAATTGGGACCAGGTAGACCATAGCAGTTGGCGCCCAACGTGGGGCCCAAGTACAGGGAAACTCTTAATCCAGAGGAGACACTCTGATTGCATGCAGTCAGATAAGGTACAGAGTGAGTTAGAGTGTAAAATACGGGATATTTAGGGCCAAAGGAACACCCGTTGTTTGTAGATACGTTATTGAGGGCCAGAGGAACTCCTGGTTAAAGGTGTTCAACTTGCTCAATTTTTAGATTTTGTACAAGATATCTGTCCCTGGTTCCCAAAGGAAGGGACTGTAAATATGGATATGTGGGAGAAGAACGGAAGTAGCATGCTCGGTATACTGCTGAAGGGTCTGATAAGATACCACTTCATACATTTTCTCTCTGGATGCTTACGTGTGATAGTTTAGACCCCCGGCCTGAATCTGAAAGAGTGCCTGTAATTCACAACTTGAACTTGCAGAGCATTTGCAGCAGACAGTGCAGGGATGTGAAGAACTACAGTTGCCTGAGTCATCAGCGCCACAGAAGGAAGAGTCGGGAGAAGAGGGAGCCTCCACTTGTCCCCCAAACTGTTCGTTAAAGGAACAAAGGGACCCAGAAGCGGAGGGCTCTGACTCAGACTGGGAGAAAAAATCAGAGCTATGTGCCTCTCGGTTGGCTACGTTATCTCTGGCCAAGGCAAGTGCTGTCAGCACGAAACCGACAGTGCTGGGTTTAATGCCAAAAGTGAGAGAGCAGTTATCTTGTGCTCTGCATGTTTTTTCTCCAGTTCAGAAGGCTTTGAGAGAAGCAAGGATAGCGGGAAAGAAAAGTTATCAGCCTCTGTGATTGTAACTTCCAACACACATCAGCAGAGAGATTTATGAAGGTTAGTTGCCGCCCTGGGAATAATTAATCAAACCAGTGCAAGCATAAAAGATCTTGGGGGGGGGCGGACAAACTGCTCATTACATGTATGCCTGTATTCAGGCCCCCAATGTACTGGTTACAGAATCAGTCACTATTTCATATGCAGCGGGACATTATATTGTAAATTGTGTTTCATGCAACCCTCACCCAATATTTCATCTTGACTTTGCACTGGACCATAGAATTAGTCCCCTCCATTCCAACCTTAGGACTTACGGCCTTAGAGAATGGGATCTGGTGTTGATAGTTCCAGTTTTTCTCCCAGTTCCACCCTGGTTAATGGGCTGGGTTAGGATATGAGAAATGAAGGTTTGTTATTTCAGAGCAAATGGTTGACTGAGCAGTTGGAAGTGAGCAAGAGACATGTTGGTGTGATGAGTGTGTGGATGCTGTTCAGGGTGGCTGGGGCTTACTGTTCCTTCACTGGGAAGGACGCTTCCAAAAGAGGATGTCTTTTTGGCAGGAAAGAGTTGTGAGACAGAGGACAGACCACGTGTGACAAGCTTGGAGAGAGTTTGGAATTTGGAGTTTTGTCCTTGTTAAGAAAGAGTAAGTCCCGCTTACTGCATGCATCAAAACACCAAATGTTATTCTTTTCCCTGCCCCCAGCACCTCTCCTTGAGCTGTGTATAAAATAAACTCGCTGCCTTGGTAGGTGTCACAGTATCTCCATCAATAGACCACCAAAAGGACAAACCAATCTTTGTTTTGTACAGCTAGAATGCTCCTTAGAGGCAAGGATGGCCACTTCATCTCTCAGACTTCAGACATATCATCAGAAGGGACCAGTCCCTAGAGCATGGTATCATGCTTAGTAAAATGGAGGGTCAGAGAAAAAGAGGAAGACCCCCAATGAGATGGACTGACACAGTGGCAGCAGCAATGGGCTCAAGCATAGCAGCGATTGTGAGGTTGTTTCATTCTGTGGAGCACAGGGTCACTATGAGTAGATATGGACTCGATGGCACCTACAAACAAGTATTTCCTCATGGGTTACATTTAACAAAAGGCAGGCAGGGCGACACAGACTGATGCTGTGTTGGTCTCAGCGCATCGTCTAATCAGACACACTTGATGCCAGTGTCTCTCAAGTGACATGAATTTGATCACTTGGTTAAAAACAAATCCACCAGGTATCCCACTGTCCAATTACTATCCTTCCATTAATAATCAATAAGAAATTTATAAATTCACTGAACCGTCAAATAATTTCAGATTATTAAAAATAGTCTTCTTCATTAAATTCTCACCCCATTAATATAACTCATTCAGGATTTTCTAACTCCAATATTCCTTCTAAACATTATCAACCTGCATTCTTGCGTAAAGGAGAGCTTCCCTTCTTGGGCATTTACTCAGTTATTTACATCAGTATGCTCCCAATGTGTGTTTATTTTAACAATTATTGATTGATTACGGTCATGGTTTATTCTCTAACATACATGTTATTTTTTGAAGCAGCTTTAGGTTTACCCAAAATGATGCAGACAGTACAGACAGTTCCCATTTGCCCTCTTTCTCCCCAGCACTGTCTCCTATTATTAACACACTGCATTTGCATAGTGCATTTGTTACAATTGATGGACTGCTATTAATTTATTAACTGGAGTCTGTAATTTACATTAGGGCTCACTGTTATACATGTCACACGAGTTTTGACAGATGCATATGGCCTATGTCCAATCTGACAGTATCATAGAGTTCATTCCCCTAAAAATGCCCTGTGCGCCACCTGTTCATCCCTCCCCTCTCTTTCCTCTAACCCCGGCATCATTATTTATTTTGATTCCCAACATGTGGGCAGTGGGAGTCCCTCGAAACTGACTCCTACGTTCTTTTGACACGCCATCAGGGTAAGTACGTCCTTATTTTTGGCCATTTTGTCCCAGTGCTGGAATGAGGCATTTCTCTAAGGAACTTTAGTCCTTTTAGTGGAGAATGAGAATTAGAAACAAAGGACTGGGTGTGACACCTGCTTCTGGTCATAGGTGCAGACCTCTGTGTAGACAGACAGACCATGGAGAGCACACATACTTCTTCACATAAGCTACAGTAAGTCACCATACATGCAGCAATGTCTGCCTCACCTGTAACACCCATGTGATAGCTGTGAAAAGCATCGGTGAGACCATCACAGAGTATACTGTCAAGCAGAGGCGTCTCGCCCATCCTGACTCCTGTTCTCAAGTGGATCAAGTGAGGAGCCTGGAAACGAGAAATAACAAGTGGATTGGAGTTTAGTTGGAATGAGTCCTTTCCGTAGAATCCCACTCAAACTCATCCGCAACATTTCCTCAGTTGTCATCCCGTCTCCCCTCTTCCTTCCCATTCTATGAGAATTCCAGGAGTTAGCCGACTACTCTCCCTGCCTATTGTGGGAACCCAGTACTCTCCTCATTTCCACGTCTCCGTCAAAACCTCTCCATGCTGTGTCTCAGCTCCTTAACCAACCAAAACTTGTCATCAAGTCGATTCAGACTCGTGGAGACCCCAAGGGCCTGAGTCCAACTGCCCGACAGTGTTTCTTCAGCTATAATCTTTACAGGGATACACTGCCAGCTCTCTCTCCCTTCAAATAAGAACCACTGACCGGTCTTTCGGTGAGCAGCCCAGCATTTAACCTACGGACCCCCAAGGCCTCCTCTCCTAGTTCCTTAAGACTAACTATTTTTCCAAGAAGGCTGAAGAGATGCCAACAATGTATTCATTTTGATGGGAAACTTAATACCTACAGTGAGATTTATCAGGCAGTCTAATTAACTGATGGGGACGGATTTCTGGGTATTGAGTCCTGTTAACTCTCACTAACTCAATAGCAGCTATATGAAGGCGCTTCAGAAAGTTCGTGGAAAAATGGAATTAAAAGGTACTAGAATTTTTCCTGAACTTTTCCAAGACCCTTTATAATATAGTAGAAAGTACTGAACTTGGAGTAAGAAAAGGTGCACTAGAATCCCACATTGCCCATATGGAGTCCCTGGCAGACACAAATGGCTAAAAACTTCACACCACCCAAATGGATGGCGCTTCAAACCCATCCAGAGATGCCTTGAAAAGACAGTACTGGCAAGCTGCTTTCAAAAGATCACAGCTTTGAGAACCCTGGGGAGCATTCTACTGTCACAGGGCGACGCCATGAGTCTGCACCAACCCAACAGTAGCTGCCACTACCACCTATAGGGCAGATGTGCGACTTCCAAAAGATCACATGTATGAAATCACCTGGTATCCTCAATAGCTAATAGTTGGGCAAAAATTCATTACACGGGGATACTACCGTTTTATAGTCATCAATAAAGAACAAGTTAATACAATGTCAAATGGAAAAAACAGATTATAGTTCTATAAAAATTGAGTGTGCATATTGCAACATACGGTTTGCAACATATGAACAATAAAAGTTATTTGAAATGGTGGCATTCAAGAAAAAAATCACCTAGAAGAATAAAACACAAACATTAGTCTAAGTCTGAAAGCTCCCACTGGAACCAGGGGTGGTTTGCTACTATCAGCCTACCTGCTCCTGAGACTCACCAGCGACTGGGCTAAGTTAGCTCTGACTTAGGGTCCCCGAGTGTGGCGCTGCTGGGCTGCCTCGGTGGGGAACAGGGATATGCTGTTTCTGTGCCCGCTAGCAGTTTCAGGAATGGAACTGGTTGAAACACATTCCACCCAACACCCTGACTGAAGACCGGCCCATTCACAGGTCACTCTTCTTACACTCCCATAAGGTCAGCAAAGACTGGTCCCTGGGGTCCTTGCCATTTGTAAGAAAAATGGCACCATCTTATTCTGACTTTCCCTCACAAGAAATTCTAAGAAAGGGATTCAATGACTAACACTATAGGCTGAACCCTGAACTCTGTTGTGCTTCAGCACAGCGATATTTTAGAAACAATATGTTCTGTTCCAATGTGCTGGTTGACAGGTTTTTCTCATCTTTCTTGTAAAACAGCGAACTTCAAGTAGTACTTGAAACTTGGTTGATTTGTCTGTCTGCTTACTCTTTGGCTTACTCCGTACTCCACTACGGCACAGGGAGTTTATGAACCAAGGTCAGTGGGAACCGTCTCCTCAGAAGCCTTACCTTGCTCATGTTTTCCATACCACCTGCGACGACAATGCTGGAGTCTCCTGTCCCTACAGACTGCGCTGCCAGGCACACAGCTTTCAGGCCTGACCCACAGATCATCTGGCAGCTCCACGCTGGGACAGTGTAAGGGATTCCTGCCCCCACACTGGCTTGTCGAACGGGATTCTGGCCACAACCTGGAAGAAGCACAGATGCCTCTTAGCAACCGAGGAGGATGTCAGAAGGTCCTGGGTCTCCGGCCACTTCTGACAGTACAGAGGCTACTTTAGTTCCCAAGAGGCACAGGCCTATGAGCCACTACATCACACACACTCAAGCCTTTGAACACATACTGTCTTGTAATGCTAATTGCTGGGTGAGACAAATGGTTGTTAGGCACTTGACTACTAACTGGCATATTAGTGGTCCAAACCTACCCAGAGGCACTATAAAAGAAAGGCTGGCCATCTGCTTCTGGAAGGTCAGCCTTAAACTGTATGGAGCAGTTCTATACACACACGGGGGTCCCCGTGAGTTGGAATCAACTTGATGGCCACTGACTTGGTTTTATCATACTGCTCTCTAATTACTTCATTCTATGCTTTCTACTGTCTTCCCTAAAGATGAAGATAATCTAACAGACATTAGGAATACTGACTGAAGTAATACTAGGGGAAGCACTTTAAAGGGCTGTTGTTGTTAAGTGTCATCAAGTCAGTTCCAACTCACAGTGACCATGTCTAGGGTTTCCAAGGAGTGGCTGGTAGCTTTGAACTATTGACCTTGCGGTCCAGTGCCATACCAGAACTAGTCCACAACTAAAGTAGCTATTCTTTTTAGTACTGATTGTGTGGAAGATTTTGCAGGAGAGACACATGGAAGAAGATAGCAGACACTCCACTTAAATATGCTCCACAATCGAGCAGTGAGTTGAGAGGGCCTTGGAGAATCATGAGAAAGTGGTGTAGTTTATACCAGACACGAATCGACAGCATTTAACAACAAAGACAAGTTGAAAAGGGAGAATTAAGGAGATGAAACTACACAAAAGGAACTAAAATCCTACAAAATAAATACACAGAAAAATGGGGCAGGTCTCAGAAAAACTAGTAACTGATTGCTGTTGTAAGGAGCTCTGGTAGCATACTGGTTACAAATCGAGCCATGAACCGCAAGGTCAGCAGTTCAAAACTACCAGCTGTTCCGCGGGAGAAAGATGAGGCTTTCTCCTCTTGTAAAGATTTACAGCCTCAGAAACCCTGTACAGGGTCACTATGAGTCGGTTCTGATTCCACGGCACATCACCACCACCACCACAGTGACTAATAGTGACCCTATGCACAACAGAAGGAAACACTGCGTGGTCCTGGGCCTGAGCCCATTGCTGTCACCACTATGTTATTTCATCTCGCTGAGTGTCTTCCTCTTTCATGCCTATCCTCCACTTACCCAAACATGATAACCTTCTAGAGTGATTGGTCCCTCCTGATAAGTCCGAAGTATGAGAGATGACATCTGGCCATCCCGGTTTCCAAGGAGCACTCTGACTGTACTTCTTCCAACAAAGATCTGTTTGTTCTTTTGGCAGCCCTTGGTACTTTCAATACTTTCCTCCAACACTGTAATTCAAATGCATCAATTCTACGATATTTCTTATTCACTGTCCAACTTTCACATGTACATGAGATTACTGAAAATACCATGGCTTGGCTCAGGGGCACCTTAGTCCTCAAGCTGACATCTTTGCTCTTCAACACTTTAAAGAGATCTTGTGCAGATTCCCCTAATGCAGTACATCGTTTGGTTTCTTGACTGCTGCGTCCAACAGTGTTGATGGTTGATCCAAGCAAAACGAAATTACTTGACAAATTCAATCTTTTCTCCATTTATATGGATGTTCTTTATTGGTCCAGTAGTGAGGATTTTTGTTTCCTTTATACTGAGATGTAATCCATACCGAAGGCTGTGGTCTTTGATCTTTATCCAGTATTTTAAGTCCTTTTTGCTTTCAGCAAGCAAGGTTGTACCATCTGCCCATCATAGATTGCTAATGAGTCTTCCTCCAATTCTGATGCCACATTTTTCTTCATATAATCCAGTTTCTTGAATTATTTGCTCGTTACACAGACTGAATAAGTATGGTGAAAGAATACAATCCTGGCGCATATCTTTTCCTAATCTTAAACCATTTGGTGGTCCCTTGCTCCATTTGAATAACTGCCTCTTGGTCTATGTACAGGTTCCTCATGAGTACAATTATGTGTTCTGGAAAACTCATATTTTGCAATGTTTTCCGTAGTTTCTCATGATCCACACAATCGAAAGTTCTGCATAGTCGATAAAACACAGGTAATGGTATCCCTCGCTCCATGTCCTCTTCTGAATCCAGCTTGAAACTCTGGTTCTCTGCCAATGTACGGTTGCAGCCAATTCTGTACTACCTTTAGTAAAACTTTATTCTCATGGGAAATCAATGGCATTGTCATGATGTCCACATTCCACTGGGTCATCTCATTGGAATGGGCACAAATACAGATCTCTTCCGGTCAATTGGCCAGGTACTTATCTTGCAAATTTTTTGGCGTAGATAAGTTGAATGATTTCAATTTGTATTACATCTATTTCTAGTGCCTTGTTCTTTGCAAATGACTTCAATGAACCTTGGACTTCTTCAGAATCACTGGCTCTTGATCGTATGTTACACCTGCTGAAATGACTGAACATCGACCATTTCTTTTTGATACACTGACTCTGTGTATTTATTCCACCTTCTTTTGATGTTTTCTGCATCCTTCAATATTCTGCCCAAAGAATCCCTCAATACTACAAGTCAAGGTTTCAATTTTTTCTTCAATTCCCTTAGCTTGAAAGATGCTAAGTGTGTTCTTCCCTTTTGTTTTTCTAACTCCAGGTTTTTGCACATTTCATTGTAATATTTGACTTTGTCTTCTTGAGCTGACCTTTGAATTCTTCTGTTTAGCTCTTGTATGTCCTCACTTCTTCCATTTGTTTTTGAATCTCTACACTGGAAAGCAAGTTTCAGAGCCTCTTCTGACATCCATGATGGTCTTTTCCTTCTTTCTCGTCTTCTTAATGACCTTTGCTTTCTTCCTGTATGATGTACTTGATGTTATCCCACAACTCTTTTCGTCTTTGATGTTTAGTGTCTAATGCATCAAATCTGTTCTTCAGATGAGCTTTAAATTCAGGAGGGATATATGCAAGGGCAAATTTTGGCTCTCATGGACTTGTTTTAATTTTCTTCAGCTTCAGCCTGAATTTGCATATAAGCAATTGATGATCTGTTCCACAGTCTGCTCCCAGCCTTGTTTTGGCTCATGATATGGAGCTTTTCTACCATCTCTTTCCACAGATGTAGTCACCTGATTTCTGTGCATTCTACCTGGTGAGGTCCATGTGTATAGTCATCATTTATTTTGTTTAAAAAAGATATTCTAATAAACAAGTCATTGGTCTTGCAAAATCCTATCATGTGATCTCCAGCATCATTCCTATTTTCCAATTACTCATCCTTTCTCTGTTTCCAACCTTTGTAATTTAATCACCAATCATTACCAATACATCCTGACTGCATGTTTGATCAATATTAGGCTGAAGAAGTTGACAGAATTCTTCAATTACATCAGCACTGGCTTTAGTGTTGGTACTTACATTTGAATAATAGTAGTATTAACTGATCTTCCTTGTAGGTATATGGATAGTATCCTACAACAGACAGCATTGTACTTCATGAATGATCTTGATGTATTCTTTTTGATAAGGAATGCATCACCATTCCTCTTCAATTTGTCATTCCCGGCATAGTAAAAACATGTGGTTGTCAGATTCAAAATGGCTGATAGAAATCCATTTCATCTCATTAATGCCTAGGATATCAATGTTTATGCGTTCCACTTCATTTTTGACATTTTACAATTTTCCTAGTTTCATACTTTGTACATTCCAAGTTTCTATTATGAAAGGATATTTCCACTGCTTCTCTTCATTTTGAATTGTGTCCTATCAGCAAATGACAGTCTTGAGGGCTTTACTTCATTCATGTCATCACGGTCAACTCTACTTTGAGGAGGTAGCTCTTCCCCAGTTGCATTTTGAGTGTCTTCCACCCTGAGGGACTCATTTTCCGGCACTGTATCTGACAATATTCTGGTGCTCTTCATCATGTTTCAATATTCAATAATGTGGTGCTGACAGTATTTCACTGCTAGTCATAAGATTTTCAGTGACTAAATATTTGTATGTAGTCCATCCTCCTCTCCTTCCTTCTAGTCTGTCATCGTCTGGAAGCTCAGCTGAAACTTGTCCACCATGGGTGACCCTGTTGTCATTGTTGTTATGTGCTGTGGAGTCAGTTCCGACTCATAGCGACCCTGTCTGTACAGGGTTTCTGAAGCTGTAAATCTTTACGGGACCAGAAAGCCTCACCTTTCTCCCATGGAATAGCTGGTAGTTTCAAACTGCTAACCGTGAGATTAGCAGCCCAATTCATAACCACTACACTACCAGATATTTAAAATACCTGCTGATATTTAAAATACCTATGGCATAGCTTCCAGAATCACAGCAGCATGCAAGCCACCACAGTACGACAAACTGACACAAAAGTGGTTAAATAGTAACTGATTAAGAACACTCAAAGTCACTGGTCTAAACACCAAGCAGGAATCAGAAATGAGATGTGACTGCTCTCCTCACTCCTCTCCCTCTGGTGCAGGGACAGCCCTGGCCCTCTGTGAGCAGCATCAAGTGTAAAACCTGGCTTACTGCCGCACATCTGGGACCTTTCAGCAGTGCCTCCACAGGAGTTTCTCCAGAGGTCAGCTCAGCAGGCCCTCAGAAAGAAGACTGGTGACAGGCAAGAGCCCAGGAGCATGGAGTACAAAGGCACCATGAGCTGTTAAGACAGCTAGCAAACTGGCCCCAGGAATTGATACAGGGGGCTACTCACCTCCATAGACATGCACCTGGATTACCACACAAAGAATCTGTGATCTTTACCTGGAAGCTAGAAGTCTTGCTAACAACTCTAGGCCCAACTAGACTGAGCCAATAGGGTCTTCCACCCTGGAAGCCAGACTGAGCCTATAGGGTCTTCCACTCTGGAAGCCCAGCTACATGTGGAGAAAGAAGTAAGCAAGTAAAGCACAAAGAAATAATAAGGCAACAAAGACAGGAT